CACACACACACACACACACACACACACACACACACACACACACACACACACACACACACACACAGGGCTCCTAAAATACACTTTACTGATGAACAGTCCACATCAGAACCGAAGGCAGGATTAGAAACTTAAAAGATTTGTTCACAGCATGAAATTCACATTTTCCCTGCAGTGTTTGGTTTCGCTGCAGGAGGCTGASATATTTGAACTACATGGTGTTCCTCAGCTTTCTGCCCACTAGATGGCGCAGCTGTGTGGTGAACAGAAAACAGCCTCTTGCTGCTGTTTTTTCAGTTTCTAAATGGGACTTTTTAAAAACCTGCTTCTCGTGGCATCTCTGGACAAGTTCTTAGCCTGGAGCTTTAAATGTTTCGTGTGACTGCCTCACCGTTAAAACCCACCAGCTAACCRCTTTGTTTTGCCTCCTCAGCTTCTGTAATTAGGCCGTTTGTGTTAATGGAAGGTTAGCGTGGTGTGTRGGCAAGAACTGGGTGTAATTACAGCCGTTTGTCCCGTTGCTTTTTAATTCCTTCCAAAGGCTGAAGGAAAGCATTTCGCCCATCTGGACAAGAATCATCTTATCAGAAGTGACAAAGTGTTGGTGGTACGAGGGAGCTAATATTAAACATTTGGTCCAAGCTAAGGGTCGATTTCAGTCATAACATCTAAATTCAAACTGGTTTTTTTTTGGCTTCAAAGTTGGCAAAGAGAACTCTACATGATAAAGTTTGCTCAGTTTTTTAAGTAAAATAAAAAGCAATAAAAATATGTAACAATTTATTCATCATTTTGGGCCAAATAAACTATAACTATAATAGAGTATAACGGTTGTTTTTGTCTAAATGATTGATTTAAAGTTACTTTTGTGTTGATCAGCTGTAGCAGCCTTCATAAATTGGATGTACTTCAAATATAAACGAGTATTTAATGAATGAGTTTTACTAACGGTGTTAATTTGAACAAATACTTCTCCCGCACCATATTTTAACTCATTATCTGTGAAATTAACTGAGTTTTAGCTTTTTTTGGGGTTCAATAAGGTGTCTTTGTTGTGGCGACCATCTTCAATGTTCCAGGTGGCTCATTTCAAAGAGTACATCCCTCAGGCGTTTCCTGGTGGCCACAGCATGATTCTAGATGCTGAAGTGCTTCTAATCGACACAAAGACCAGCAAACCGCTGCCGTTTGGGACCCTGGGCGTGCACAAGGTGATGRCACATTTCTCTACTCAGTTATCTACGTTTTTTGTTTTAAACTTGTCACTTTAAAGTTTCCTCTCCCCTCAGAAAGCAGCCTTTCAAGACGCCAACGTTTGCCTTTTCGTGTTTGACTGCATCTACTTCAACGGTGTGAGTCTGATGGAAAGGTACTGTTTTCATTTCGCCCTTTAACATGAAACGAAATGAACAAAAGGAAACTGAGTGATGCAAGCCGCTGCATTAAAACATTAAACACTTCTTTACCAGGTTGGTCTCTGAGTGGTAGCTGCTCTCTTTGTTTGAAAAAAGTCTTAATTTCTTTTAGATTTGGGTTTAAAGTTTGCTTTTTCTCGTGGGTTCTGTTGGTTTGAACTCATTAAACGAAGCCTCGGCGCTGAAGGAACGGCTCTTTTGAAGCTTAGATGAAAGAGTTTTCTCTGTTCACCTACTTTTTATGTTCTTATTCATTTAAGCAACAATTCAAAAGCAGTTTTTTTCTATTTAAATGCAAAAAATCGTGTAAATCCTTAAAAATAACGATTTAAATTAGTTTGTTTTCACTTCTTAAATAACAACAACTGTAACAAATCCTTAAGTTTCTTTTGTTTGACACCTGGGCCTTGGTGCTGCAGGAGGAATTTAACTTAGCTTAAATCTGCAACTTTTTTCAAGCCCCCCCTATAAGCAGGCTAACGCTGCTCTGTTTCCTGCAGACCTCTGAGTGAACGCAGAAAGTTCCTGGATGACAACATGGTTGAAGTTCCCAACAGGATCCTGTTCTCCGAAATGAAATACGTCAAGGTATGTTTGAGCTCAGATGTTCTGCTCTGCRTATTAATATATCCACAAATTAAACTGTTTGTGTGTGTTTGTGTCAGAGGGCAGCAGATCTGGCTGACATGATAACTCGTGTCATCAGAGAAGGACTTGAAGGCCTGGTGCTGAAAGACATAAAGGTCAGTTGAGTTTAGTGCTGTACCAAACGATTATTTTCTAATCGATTAATCTAACGATTATTTTTTCGATGAATCGATTATTCTAACAACAAATCTATAAGTTATTCTGATGTGAGTGCACTGGAAATTTAAAATGTTTTCATCAAATTAACAAGAACATTTCTTTAATATTGTAATATTT